AAATATTGATTTTTTTAAGGATTTATTTTATAATATCAATACAAAATAAATCTGATTTTTGCCCTTTTACAGAGTTATTGTAACTAGTTGTTATTTGCAAATGTCAAGTTTGAAACTGCTTACATCATTGTCATTTGCATATTTTTTGTTATTATTTATTTTTTGAATTTTTAAACCTTTTGTTAACTTTTTTAAGAAAATTTGTTTGAAAGAATTTTCGGTGCCCCATGCACAATTATTTGGGGTGGGGTGGGGGTAATAATTATATTATTTAAATGAAGAATAAACGGATATTGATTGATTCATGTAAACTTTTTTCTTTAATTAAATCCATTGTTGCTTACTTTAAAAAAATCTCTTTGTGAACAGAACAGCGGGTTGCTTTAACTCTGGGAAAGTCAGGGATTGATTTTACACTGTATCAATATTATAAACAGGACCCCCTTTCTAATATGATAATTAAGCAATATTTTTTTCGATTTTGACAAGTGTCTCTACTAAGGAATATATAAGCAATCCTAATTTGCAAAGATTTTTTTTTTAAATAACCCATTTTGTTAGTTCCGAGTGAATCGGTAATTTTTAAGTAGTGCCTGTATTTGAATTTGTGACCAACAGACGATACGTCCAGTTTTGTATACTTCTATATTTCCATGTTGTCGTCTTTTAAATGGCACACACCATCTTCCAAGACTTAATCATATTATCGGGTCTGCGCGAGGGCTCTTGATAAAATCTTTAAAAAAATTCTTTACCTTCTTTACTCGAATAAAGCACCGATTCCTAATCTCACTTATTTCCTTGCATATTTTGCTCGTCTATCCAAGCCGGTTATTGGGCAAACACTTTTTTTTTTTATCGATAATTGTTTCGTATTGTACTTTGACATCAAGAAGATACGATCTTTTATTCCGTGGCGTCGTCTCGTTGTTAGATGCGAAACTCTTTTCATTGAGGAGAAAATTTATTCATATTTTTTATTCATTCGTTCAACATTTTTATTAAATTTGCTTATATACCTAATAAGTGCGTTTAAATTAGGAATCTTAAGAATTTGGTAGTGTCTGTGTGTCGTGTAATGGGTACTGGCGAAGAAAATTGAATCCGCGAGCCGGCCTAAAATTCCAGGTTCGTCTGACGCGTTCACTTGCATAACGCCCTTGAAATAAAATAAAAATATGAATCCGTCACTTCTACTCGCAGTGACAGCTATGGGTTAAATAGCAAAGTAGACTGTGTTCTCTAGCCTTGGTTGGCAACCGGTTTAAGAAAATGTATCTTTGAATTCAAAAATGTGAGAGAAATTAGCATGGAAATCACTGCAATATATTTCCCAGAAAGACATAAACAGCTCGCAGGTAAGAAAGAAAGAAATATGAGGAGAAAGCGGTGGGAAACGTCTCCTCGATCTTTGATAAAAAGTTATGGATAATAAAAAAAATCAATCAGAGGCATGATTTCAGGATAAAATAACAAGGTAGACTAGGATTTCTAAACTTCGGTATCAATCAACCTAGGAGAAGGAGTTGTCTGAACTAATAACCATAAAGGAGGCAATGGTAAATCCACCACGAATTTTCCCAAGGCCATGGTAACTCGTAGATCATAAAGAAAACGAATCAGTGGAGAGTTATTAACGTCTACGACCTTAAGTGACATGGTAAATTAAAAAAGAATATTTCCTCAGTTTTGCCAGGTCTGGTACAAGGCCAGAAGGAAGTAGGGAAAAGTTAATCTTACAATCGTTTAGCTCTGGTTAGTAAGCAGTCTTAGGGAAGAACTACTTTGAATTCCAAACATTAGACAACGGGTAACCATTGCGCTACCGTTACCAAGAATGCAAAATAAATCACAGATAATAAAATAGGAAAATGTGGAGAGTCATGATCGCCTACATCCTGAAGAAACATGGCATTACGCAAAAATGATTTGCAAAAGGTGACTCTAAAAATTGTGCTTCACAGCAATCAATCTATTTTTTAGAGTCTGGAATGAAACATTTTATTGACATTTTAGGTTTGATTTCGTTGTTTTTGTTTAACGGCATATCAACACTTCTATGGGTTTTTTTTAATGCCGGAATCTAAATATTTTGAACGCAGTTTTATGGCTTCAACTACATATATTTTGTACATCATTTTATGCTTTCATTGTAAACGTATGTCTTATAGATATATAGATATATAGTTTGTAGATTATCCATCGTAGGTGTTATGTTTTTGTATAAACCTATTTTTTTGATTTCGTTGTATTTGTTTGTCGGCATATCAACACCTCTATGGGTTATTTAATACCGAAATATAAATATATGAAAAATCAAACTTTATAATTCATTCATGAGAACGACATTATCTCATGATTAAATTATAATTACTTCGCTGCATTTTTTCACCAAATAATCTGACAAAATCAAACAAGTAGTGAAAGTTTGTTTCTACTTACATGGAATGAGATTAATCACAGCAAATTGCTTTTTGTTTTTTTTGTTCTTTTTTCAATTTTACTATAAAATGAATTGATTGTCATTTTGCTATAAAGACGTATTATTGGTCATTTTATTATATTATATATTGTTGGTAATTCATATTTAAAATTTCTTGTTGGTATTGTTGGTAATCTTCTTATAAAAATGTATTGTTTGTATTTTCACTATAAAAATATATTTTTATACGTTCCTAGCGTTTTGATCCTTGTTTGGGTATTGACTATTTTCCCCATAGCTGGGACCCTAAGAGGTGCTACCACTCCTGGTTATGATGAACCTAGGAAAAACAGCAATTAAGAGGTGGTCCGCGCTCCTCAAAACCTCAAATCTCCCGATTAAAGGCCTTGTAATACTCACTGCGGGTGGGTTACCCCTCTGCAGAGGTGCAGTCGGCGTAGTCTATTCCCCCTGCCGACAGGGCATTATTAATAATTTATTATTTTTATTTTTATTATTATTATTATTATTATTATTGCTTTTATTATTATTATAGTGTAAGAGCGGTACGACAATAAAGTGATGCCAGTTTACGCATATACGAAGCGTAATGTACTCATTATGACATCCTGCCTGATAATGATATAACAGGCACAAGCACAACAGCCAAATATGAACGCTATGGTGACAGGTTTTGATAAATACAACGGATAACTTTGCAGGTGGACACCAGTCGAATAATGCAGTCTACTCTGACAATCTCCGATTGACGGTGTCCATAAGTAACTAAATGTGACCTCCGAGTCGCCTCATCGTTCAATCTTCAAAAAGTGTTCTGCTGTATTAAAACGAATGCTGGACAACATCCCCACAGATGAAAAAGAGACATGAGACAACAGAAATGTGTTTCTGCAGAAGGATGCTGAGAATATCATGAACTGAACATGTGTGCAATGACGAAGTTTGACCGAAAATGGATACAGAAAAAGACACAGTTAGCAATCAGAAGGTTGTAATTTCTAGGGCGTATATGAGGAAGGGGAGCTTGGAGAATTTGGCACGCACAGAACATATTGAAGTCAAGAGAGACACAAGAAAGTACCACATAACCTACCTAACGAAAGGCACTTCGATCTGGTCTACTGGCTAACAACCTTGTCTCGCTAGCTCAGTTACGACTGAATAGGGAGTTCGATCCTCACTTGGTGCCTCATACTTTCGGCCTTGTGCCACATCTAAGCTACGGTTAAAAAATCACCATAACCTACCTAATGAGCTTGTGTAAATGGTTGGCAGAACAGGGATTAAGAGATATAGCAAACAAAGTTTACTAAGGGATAAAAAGACAGGGAAAATTGTGGAGTGACATGACGCCCCCCCACTCCCTGAAGGCATATATTACATAGAAGAAGAAGAATGAACTTTTTTATTCAATGCATGTCGTAGCATCCACTCCCTGCTATTGTGTAAGTAATAATACAATGACCTACATTCTGATGCTACACAATCTTCTACTCCTATTAAACAGCGCTCATTTGACTAACGTGAATTCCTTTCTATCTCGCCAATGTGCATTTGGTTTAAATAGAATCCGTTTTTCTGGCGACGTTATTCAATCAGCGAAACATGTCAGATTAAGAGCTCTCCAAATTGTCTCATATATTTAACACGGAATTGTTCCCACGGTTATTCATACAGACGTACATATTGTCGTGTCCATCAAAAAGTAAATAAATATAAAATTAATGATACTGTCACTTTGACGTGTCCATAAAAATAAATAAATAAAAATTAATTATAGCGCCAAAAATAATTATAATGAAATAATTATAACAATTATAATTATCATTTATTCACACTTTCTTAACCAATGAGAATCAACCCCACTACCACTCTATACGCACAAACACATGACATCTTCAATATAGGACAGATAGATAGATAGATAGATAGATAGATAGATAGATAGATAGATAGATAGATAGATAATGAAAGGTATGTGAAATAGATAGATAGATAGATAGATAATGAAACGTATGTGAGATAGATAGATAGATAGATAATGAACAGTCTGAGATAGATAGATAGATAGATAGATAGATAGATAGATAGATAGATAGATAGATAATGAAAGGTATGTGAAATAGATAGATATTAGTAGTGAGATAGATAGATAGATAGATAGATAGATAGATAGATAGATGATAGAGATAGATAGATGATCTATTTATAAATAGATAGATAGATAGATAGATAATGAAAGGTATGTGAAATAGATAGATAGATAGATAGAAATGAAAACGTATTATGAGAAGATAGATAGATAGATAGATAGATATGAGATAGATAGATAGATAGATAGATAGATAGATAGATAAATAGATAGATAGATAAATAGATGTGAAAGATATATATATATAGATAGATAATGAATAGTAAACTGTCAAATTAATAGATAGATAGAACAGTCTGAGATAGATAGAGATAGATAGATAGATAGATAGATAGATAGATAGATAGATAGATAGAATGAAAATGGAATAGATAGAAGATAGATAGATAGATAATGATAGATCTTTTAGATAGATAGATAGATAGATAAAGAAATATGAATGATAGATAGATAGATAGATAATGAAAGGTATGTGAAATAGATAGATAGATAGATAGATATGAACGTATGTAGATAGATAGATAGATAGATAATAGATAGATAGATAGATAGATAGATAGATAGATAGATAGATAGATAGATAGATAGATAGATTGCAAAGGTATGTGAAATAGATAGATAGATAGATAGATAGATAATTTCAAATTTATTCCAGATAGATAGATAGATAGATATGAACAAATGGAGTCTTATGAGATAGATAGATAGATAGATAGATAGATAGATAGATAGATAGATAGATAGATAGATAATGAAAGGTATTAGATAACCTGATAGATAGATAGATAATGAAAAGTATGTGAGAAGATAGATAGAAATGAAATTAGTTTACATTTGAAGATAGATAGATAGATAGATAGATAGATAGATGAGAAGATAGATAGATAGATGAAATCAGATAGATAATGAATAGAAAATAGATAGATAGAGAGATAGATAGATAGATAATGACGTATGTGAGATAGATAGATAGATAAATTTTGAAAAATAGTCTGAGATAGATAGATAGATAGATAGATAGATAGATAGATAGATAGATAGATAATGAAAGGTATGTGAAATAGATAGATAGATAGATAGATAGATAGAAATGAAACTTTTAGTTGTAGAGATAGATAGATAGATAGAAATGAACAGTCTGGAGATAGATAGATAGATAGATAGATAGATAGATAGATAGATAGATAGATAGATAGATAGATAGTCTCGCACTAATAGGTAGAAATAGATTCTTTAGATAGATAGATAGATAATGAAACGTATGTGAGATAGGGATAGATGATTTCTAGTCTTTGGATAGATGAGATAGATAGATAGATAGATAGATAGATAGATAGATAGGGATGGATAGATAGATAATGAAAATATATATGAAATAGATAGATAGATGGATAGATAATTGAAATAGATAGTGAGAAAGATGATAGAAATGAAAATGAACAGTCTGAGATAGATAGATAGAAGAAATAATAGATAGATATTCTATAGTTAAATAGATAGATAGATATTGATTAGAATAATGAGATAGATAGATAGATAGATAGATAAAAAATAGATAGATAGATAGAAGATAGATATTAAAGATAGATAGATATACCTAAGATAGATAGATAGATAGATAGATAGATAGAGATGATGAAATACATAGATATTGAATAGATAGAAAGAGAGATAGATAGTTGTCAAATTTGTAGATAGATAGATAGATAGATATTGAAAAGTTTGAGATAGATAGATACAAGATAGATAGATAGATGATGAATTAGATTTAATGAAATGTCTAGATCTGGTAGTAAATAGAAGATAGATAGATAGATAATAAAAGATAAACAGATAGATAGATAGATAGAAAGATAGATTTGACTGAGATAGATAGATAGATAGATAGATAGATAGATAGATAAGAAATTTCCATCTAATATAGATAGATAGATAGAATAGATAGATAATGAAAGATAGATAGATAGATAGATATATGAAGAATTAGATAGATGGATAGATAGATAGATAGATAAGAATTTAAGATAGATATGAAGATAGATTGAAATTAAATGAGATAGATAGATAGATAGATAGATAAAATATTTTTTTAGATAAATAAAATAGATAGATTTGTGAGAACAGATAGATAGATAGACAGATGAGATAGATAGATAGATAGATAGATAATAGATAGATAGATGATGAATGACAGATAGATAGATTTGATAGATTTGAATGAATGAGATAGATATCATAGATAGATAGATAGATAGATCTGAGATAGATAGGATAGATAGAAATATGAAAGATAGATAGATCCTAAATAGATAGACTTGGGATAGATAGATAGATAGATAGATAGATAGATAGAAAATAGATAAGAAATATAGATGATTAGATAGATAGATAGATAGATAGATAGATGAAAAGGAAGATAGAAGAAAGATAGATAGATAGATAGATAGAAAAGAATAGATAGATAGATAGATAGATAGATAGATAGAGTCAATAGATAGATAGAGATAGATAGATAGATAGATAGATAGATAGATGAGATAGATAGATAGATAGATAGATAGATAGATAGATAGATAGATAGATAGATATAAATAGATAGATAAATAGATAGATAGATAGATAGATAGATAGATAGATAGATAGATAGAAAGATATATGATAGATAGATAGATAAATAGATATATATAGATAGATAGGATAGATAGATAGATAGATAGATAGATAGATAGAATAAGAATACGGATAGATAGATAGATAGATAGATAGATAGATAGATAGATAGATAGATAGATAGATAGATAGAGATAGATAGATAGATAGATAGATAGATAGATAGATAGATAGATAGATAGATAGATAGATAGATAGATAGATAGATAGATAGATAGATAGATAGATAGATAGATAGATAGATAGATAGATAGATAGATATTCAGATAGATAGATAGATAGATAGATAGAATAGAGATAGATAGATAGATAGATAGATAGATAGATAGATAGAGATAGATATGATAGATAGATAGATGATAGATAGATGAATAGATGAAATAGATAGATAGATAGATAGATAGATAGATAGATAGATAGAATAGATAGATTCAATAGATAATTTTATAATAGATAGATAGATAGATAGATAGATTAATATAGATGAATAGATTTAGAGATAGATAGATAGATTAGATAGATAGATAGATAGATAGATAGATAGAAAATGATAGATAGATATAGATAGATAGATAGATAGATATATATAGATAGATATATGATAGATATATAGATAGAAAAGAAAATAAAGAACAAGATAGTGCATAAATGGAGATAGACAGAGAGATAAATAGATAGATAGATAGATAGATAGATAGATAAATGGAATGAAAAATAGATAGATAGATGTGCCAGATAAATAAAGATATAAAATAGATATGATCTGATAGAAGATAGATAGATAGATAGATTTATAGAAGAGAAATAGATGGATAGATAGATAGATAGATAGATATGACAGATAGATAAATAAATAAAAAGAATAGATAGATTTTTAGAAAGACAGATAGATAGAATGGATGAGATAGATAGATAGATAAATAGACATTGATAAACTATCAAAAAATAGATAGAAAATTTGATAGATGAATATTTGGATGAGATGAATATTTTAGATAGATAAATGACTTAAAAGAAGATAGACAAAGAGAATAGATAGATAGATATGCCAAAAAGATAAAATTAAAATAGTGAACATAGATACTTTAGATAGATATGGATAGATAATATATATATATAGATATATATATAGATATATAGAAAATAAATATATGATATATATATGGCAAGATAGATAGATATTTTAGAAATATAAATAGATGATAGATAAAAAGATAGATACAAATAGATTGATGATAGATGAATTATCTGATAGAACAGATGATGATTAAAGGATATTAGATAGATAATAGATAGATGATAATATGGAGATAGAATAGATGAAAGATAGATTAATTATTTAGATAGATGAATAGATAGATAGCCAGTAAAAATAAATATTTTGAATAGATATAAATAGATAGATAGATATTTTCAGAAAAATTAGATTAGATATATATATTTTTCTAAGAATGAGAAAACAATATAGATAGATAGATAGATAGATAAATAGATAGATTTATAGATATATATTTTGATAGATAATTTATTTGAAAATTAGATAGATAGATAGATAGATAGATTATAAATTAGCAAATTGAAGATAGATATATAAAAGAAAAAAAGGATTTGATAGATAGATATATAGATAGATAGATATAGAAGATAGATATATTTCAAGATTTAAAATTTATATAGATAGAAAGATAGATAGATAAATATATATATAGATAAATAGATAGATAGAAAATATGATAGATAGATTAATATAGATTTTAATGAATATAGATAGATTGTCTTAAATAGATAGATAGATAGATTGAAATCAAGGTAATATTGAAGATCATAGATAGATAGATATGATTAATATATACAGAAATATGAATAGGAAAGAGATAGATATATAGATAGATAGATAGATAAGATAGATAGATAGATATAAGATAAATCTATAAAGAAATAGATAGATTATAATAGAAATGATATTTTGAATTGATTTAGATATAGAATTAAAATGGATGTTAATTTTGAAATCAATAGATAGGAAAATAGATAGATATATAGATAGATAGATAGCTGATAGATAGATAGATATTATATAAAATATATATACAATATATATATATAGTTAATAGATAGACAGAAATAGATAGATTTTGATAGATATTTAGAAACAAAATGATATATAGATAGATAGATAGATAGATAGATAGATAGAAAATCCATTATAGATAGATAAAAATAGAGATCAGAAAATTGATTTTTAGGATAGATTTATATAGATAATACAAAAATAAAAGATAGATTTAAGATAGATAGAATTGAAAAAGATCTTTATCTAGATAATATATTGAAGATAGATAGATAGATGATAGAAAGATAGATAGATAGATAGATAAATGAAAATAAAAAAAAAATAGATAGATATATAAATAGATAGATAGATAGATAGAGGGAGATAGATATAATTTATAGAAAAAATAGATAGATAGATGATAGAATAGATAGATATAGATTATTATAGATTTATAGATATAGAACTAAATGAATGTAGATAGATATAGATAGATAGATAGATAAATAGAATGATAGATTTCAGATAGAAGATAGATATTAGATAGATAGATAGATAGATAGATAGATAGAGAAGGATAGATAGATGAGATAGATAGATAGATAGAATAAATAGATAGATAGATAGATAGATATTTTATAGATAGATAGACTTATAGATAGATAGATAAATAGATAGATGAAGATATGGAAAGATGATAATAGATAGAAATTTTCAATAGATAGATAGATAGATATAGAATAGATGAATAGAAGATAGAAAATAGAAGAAAGATAGATAGATAATAGATAGATAGATGAATAGATAGAAAGATAAGAAATTTAAATGAAGAAATAGATAGATAGATGACAATATGATATTATAGATAGATAGAAAAAGATGAATCAAATATAGATAATAGATAGATAGATCAGATAGATAGATAGATAGATAGATAAATAGATAGATAGATAGATAGATAGATAGATAGATAAATAGACCAGATAGAATAGATAGATAGATAGATAGATAGATAGATAGATATGATAGATGAATATATAGATGAATAGATAGATAGATAGAACAATAGATAGATAGATAATATAGATAGATAGATAGATAGATAGATAGATAGATTATGATAGATGTGTTAGACTGAAAGATATTAGATATAAATAGATAGATTGTGATAGATAATAGATAGATAGATAGATGAATAGATAGAAATCTTAGATATAGATAGATAAATTTCCAAAATAGATACAATAGATAGATAGATAGATAGATAGATAGAATGATAGATAGATAGATAGATAGATAGATAGATAGATAGAGATAGATGAATAGATGAATGAGATGAATAGATAGATAGATAGATATGATAGATAGATAGATAGATAGATATAGATAGATAGAGATATAGATAGATAGATAGATAGATAGATAGATAGATAGATAGATAGATAGATAGATAGATAGATAGATAGAAGATAGATATGATAGATAGATAGATAGATAGACAGATAGATAGATAGATAGATAGATAGATAGATAGATAGATAGATAGATAGATAGATAGATAGATGAGATAGATAGATAGATAGATAGATAGATAGATAGATAGATAGATAGATATAGAAATATAATGATTAGATAGATAGATAGATAGATAGATGAATAGATAGATATATAGATATATTTATAGAAAATAGATAGAATAATGAAAAGATGAATGACATATAGATAGATAGATAGATAGATAGATAGATAGATAGATATATTTTCCAAAAGAAATAGATAAAGATAGATAAAATAGATAGATAGATATATATATAGAGATAAGATAGAGATTGATAAATTGAAAGATAGATAATAGATAATAGATAGATAGAAATATATAGATAGATAGATAGATATGTAGATAGAAAGAAAATAGATAGAGAGATAATAAATAGATAGATTAGAAAGATAGATAGAAATTGTTGAAAATAGATATTTAGAAAGATAGATAGATATATAGATATAATGATATGAATAGATAGATGATAGAAAGATAGATAGATAGATTTTTAGAATTGAAACGAAATATAATAAAATTCAGAAGATAGAAAGAATTGAAAAAAAAAAAAGAAAAAGAAAAAAAAGAAATAGAAAATAAAGATTATATTTAATAGATTTTAAGATAGATAGAAAATGATAGAATAAGGATAGATGGATAGATAGATATAGAATTAATAATTCTGTAAATATTTAATAGAAAAGAATATATAATGATAAAATAGAAATATAATAATAGATACAGATAAAAAGAAAAAAAATAATAAAAATTTTATGAATGTAAATAACAAAAAAATAGATGAAAAATATAAATATAGAAAACAAAATATAGATAGATAGATGAATAAATAAAAAGATAGATCGGATAAATTTTATATATAAATACAAAAAAGAAATTTATATATTTTTTCTTTAAATAATGAAATTTTCATAAAAAAAAAATTTTAAAATTGAATGATAATAGATAAAAAGATCGAATTTGATAAAATTTTAAAATATGAATAAAAAAACAAAGAAAAATAATTCAAAAAAATATTTGGTTGATTTAAAAAAATAAATTTATAAAAAATAGATAAATATATTTTATTTAAAAAAATTATAATTTTTATTTTAAAAGATATATTACAAGAAAAGAATAATGATAAAAAATATTTTAAAATAGATATGAATTTGAAAAAAAGATAATATTAAAAATATAAAAATATAATTAAAAATTGGTTAATATCCGAAAATTTGATAAATAGAATTATAATATTGAATCATTTAATCAAATAGATAAAAAAAAATTTATAATTGTTAACATAATCCAAATATAAAATTTCAAAATAATAAAATATTGAATATATTTGAAAAATAAATAAAAAATAAATTAATAATAATTTAAAATTTTTACAATATAAGGAATCAATCAATAAATTTAAAATAAAAAGATAATGATATTACCATCATGATTTTATTAAAATATTATATTTTTGTTTTTAAATTAATATTATTAATTTAATTTCATTTTTTTATAATATCCAAAAAAATTATGTCCTTAATGCAAAATCAAAAAATCATTAAAAATTTAAAATAAGAAAATATTATTGATTCATTTTTTAAAAAAAAAAGATAAAATAGTAATAATGAATTATTATTAAAAAAAAAAAAATGATTTTAAAAATAATGATAAATCTATTTTTCTTTGAATCAATATATTATATAATAGAATTATTTTTTATAAAAAAATATTTATATTAAAATAAGATAAACAATAAAAAAAAAAAATAAAATGAAAAATAAATATTAAATATATTTTAATAAATATATATTTATATATATATATTATATATACTGATGGAAAATTTTCATATATATATATAAAATAGATTTAATATATAAAATTGATACATCTATTACATAAAAAAAAAAAATTAACAAAAAAATCGAAAAAAATTTTATGCAAATTTAATCTAAAACATTCAAAAAAAAAATTTACGTTTTAAATTTTTCAATTTTTTTCAAAATTTTTTTAAAAATTTAAAAAAAATATTCAAATTATATAATAATAAATAAATTATATTTATTAGAATAAATTGTTAATAAAATAAAAAAATAAATAACAAAGAAATTTAAAAATTTTAATATAAATATATATAATTAATTTAAAATATTTTTATCAATTAATTAAAATATCAAATTCTTTCATTTTTTAAATGAATTATTTTAATTTTAGAAAATAAAATTAAAAATAATTGTTCATTTTTATCTTTTATTTTTAAATAAGAAAAAAGAAATAAAATTTTTATATAAAAAAAAAATAATTGATTTTAGTGAAGTATTAAAATATTTGTAATTAATTTTTATTTTAAAATGAAAAAAAAAATTGAAAAAAATTTTTAAATAAAAATTTGGAAATAAATTATTTAAAATAGATAGATTTTCATTAGATATATTAAAGAAAAAATATTTTCAGAAAGAAAAATAATAAATTAAAATTTATTAAAGGAATTTTATGAATTAATAATTTGAAACATTAATAAAAATAAATATAAAAAATATAAAATTATTTATTTTTATAATTTTATTTAAATAAAAATATTTTTTTTTGATTGAAGAAAAAATATATATAAATAGATTTTTTTTTTTGTTTTAAAAGAATTCACGAAATGAATGAAATTTATATTTTTTAAATTTGAAATCATTAAAAAAAAAAAACTTTTATATTACTGTTTTGAACATTTATAATATATTTAATATATATATAAATATAATATAAAAAAATTCAATAAGAAAAATTTCTTAATAAAAGAATTTTTTTATAGAAAAGAATATATTCATAGAAAAGATAAATAGTTTTTTTTTGTTTTTTATCATTTTTTTAAAAATGTCATTTTGTTTTTTGAATTTTTATTAATAAAAAAAAAAAAATTTGAAAAAATAATTATTTAAGATATGGTTTTAAAAAATTTAAAATTCCAAAATTTTTTTAAAAATAAAATTTTAAATTTTGATTTTTTATTCTATAATTTGATATTTTAAAAAAATTGGTGAAAAAAAAAAGAAATTTTTAAAAAAAAAAAATGTTATTTTCAGCAATGTTCCTTCAATTTTAAAAGAAATCTTAATTATTTTTTAAATGAAATTCCTCCTATTTAAAATGAAATATTATTTAAAATTTTGAAAGGAATGGAATCAATATTATCAAAATATCCAAATATGATATAAAACAAAAATATATCAAAAATATATGTTAAAATATGAAAAAAAAAATAAAATTTATAAAATTAAAAATTTTTTAAATTTTTTTATTTTTTAAATTAAAAAATATAAATTTTTAAAAAAGATTTAAATTTCTTTTAGTTGGATATTTTTGAAAAAAAAAAAAACATCAAGAAAAAAAAAGAAAAAAAAAAAAAAGAAAATTTTTTCTATATTTTAAAATTCATTAAAATGTAAAAGAAAAATTTTTCTCAATTTTATAAAATATGAAAAAAATATTCAACTTTTCATTTAATTTTTATTTTTTTCTAAAATAATCATGTATGATAAAATTAATAAAGAAAAAATCAATTCTTTTTAAATTTTTAAAAATAAATTGGTTTTAATCTTTTTTTTTATCTTTATTTTTTTTAAA